TCTGTCTTCCTACAAGATTTCCTGTAGTTCTACCTCTTCCAGGAAGCTTTCCTGATTTTCCCTACCCAAAAAGGTCTCTCCCCTCAGGGTCCAGGGCAGCGGGTCCTGCTCATCTTCTCTCTGCTAAGCTCCAGGGGGTGGGAGAAGAGGGACACATTACTGCCACTCACGCCCTGTTGGACAGACATGCTGACCTCGACCTCCTTTGTGGAGTGCTGGTTTAATTTCCGGGACAAGCCCTGGCCATCTCAGCTGTGCTCAGCTTTCCCTTTTCCCCACTCGCGCCTCTGCCCCCAACGGCAAAGTGCAGTCGCACCACGACCTGCCTTTGCGAGGTCCCTCCCGGGCCTGCTGTCCCCTTGTCACTGTCCTCTGGCCACGCTGTAGGACTGGCTGCTCTCAGGATGCCGCAGGCTCTCTGGTTTCTGTGCTGCCCCTCTGCTGGCTACGATGAGCACCTCCTCCAGGATGCCCTACCTGACTCCCCCACCTGGACCCACCCCCATCAAAGGTGGAATTCGTCCCACACTCTCCACTATCAGCTGGAGTCCAGGGCCTGGAAAGAGTCACCTCAGTCACCAGCACTTGGCACAGGGCCAGATACAAGATGTGTGGCCACAAATGTTTGTAAAACTGAGGCATCTCTGGTCAGCAGGCAGGGAGAGGGTACCAACTCCAAAGGTGTCCCCTGATGCCAACTGGTGGCCGTGAGCCCCCAGCCTGGGCCAGGAGTGTCTGCTTCCAGGCCTCCCCTGGCCATACACAGGCGGGGGCCACGAAGCTGGTACGTGGTTACTGGAGCGGAGGGTGGAGGTGTCTTATCGTAGCCGGCACCCAAGAGCCAGCTTCTTCAGTGCCAGCAGCCCTCCTCACAGCTCCTGCCCTGGAGCTGGCCTGGAAGGGAGGGTGAGGATGGAGGAGCTGGTACTCACCACACGGTCCCAGAGGGAGCTGTTGCTGTCACCTGGTAGAAGCTTCTTGGGGGTGAGGGGTAGACTCACCATCGTGTGGGAAACCAAATGAATGCGTGCCCTCCTTGCCTACCTCCCGCCCCCAACTGGTTGGAAGACTGGTTCCATTTTAGGGTCTCTCTCCTCTGAGCCCTTCTTCACTCGCTCCTGGCAGAATCACGGATGACCAGAGAAGCCACCTCTGTAGGCAGGGAGGTGGGGGCAGGGCACAGGGAGGCCAGATGCCCCAGAATGGGAGCCAGCCCGTGGCCCTGGGCAGCCTGTGGGCAGCCCCGTCCACCTCCAGGTTGGGGTGTCCCTGGCACAAAGGAGCAACTCCGTCTGCACTGGCCTGGCTGGAAGTGATGGGAGCAGATTTTAGTTACTTTTTTCAAACTCAGGTTGTGTCCAATGTTTTTTAGGACAACCCTATGGGGATGTGCTAGTGCCTTTGAGGCCCTCTGCTCCCCGGGCCCCCTGCCTCTGGTGGATCCCCTTCCTCTGTGGTACCCCCTTCTCTGCTAGCCCCCTTCCTGTGACAGGCCCTCTTCCTCTGTGGGCCCCTCTTCTTCTGTTGGGGCTCATTGGCTGGTATGGGCTGTTGGGGTAGCTGAGATGTTTCTCCCCATGTTGGGGGTGAAGATTCACAACAAATGGAAAGAAAAACAAGTTCTCTGTGTTTCCGTCCCCTCTACCCAAGGGCTTTCCTGGGCCCCAGAGGCTTTGGGAGCGGGTATTTGTAGAGAGAGCCACAAGGCAGAGGATCTGAGGCCCCAGACCTCGTCTCCCTCCTGAGCCCTGCCTCTCCCCCCAGGCAGAGAAGTGTGAAAGCAGCATCCCTCCCAGTAATGGAGAGCTGGCAGTCAGGGCCAAACTGGTCCTCCCTTCAGGGCCGGACAAGCTCCAGGAGGCTGGAGAAGGTAGGTGCATCCACCCCCTTCACTGACAGAAAGCCTGGGCCAGCAGGGGAGCTGGAGGGGGGCGAGGTATTGTGGGGTTAACCATCCATGGACCCACAACTCTGGTCATTCAGACTCCTAGCAATGGATGAGTGGCTCAGCTGGAAAATGGTTCCTTGGAGCCACGTAACTTGTAAAAGAAACAAATTCCACACAGTGCTGAGGTCCACTCTCGACACAGCTCTTAGGATTCAAGTCCAGGCCATCTCCTCCTGCAGTGTAGCCTGGAGCTGGGCTGGGAAGGATCAGGTGCACATCTCAAGATGCTGGGACCAGTGAGGCTCAGAATGAACGAATCCCTGTTCCAGGTCCCTGGAGGCGCTGTTGCCCAGCTAGAGAAGGGGATGGAAGTCAGGTCTTTGAGGACCTTACAGGAGACTTGACGAGTAAAGCCAGTTACCATCGAAAGCTCCAACTCATGGTGTCCCATGGGTGTCCGAGTAGCGCTGGGCTCCAGGGGGTTGTCAGTGGCTCATTTCTGGGAGGTGGATCACCGGGTCTTTCTTCTGAGGCACCTCTGGATGGACTGGAACCATCAACCATTCGGTTGGCAGCTGAGCATGTTAACTGTTTGTACCCCCGGGACTCCAACGGGAGACTTAACTAATTTAAATTCTGTTGGGTATGGAAAACATGAGGGTGAGGATGAAAAAGACGAGAAGGTGCAATCCCGTTTTGGATTTTAGTGACTTATTTGAATGGAAGAGGACATTCTGCTCCCCAAGCTCTAGGGATTACCCTCCGGCCCCCGTAGCAGAGTTCCTTGGGCTCCCACTTTCTTGAAACCATTAGCTACAAGAAGATTAAAAATTCTGCAGCTTTCTTCTTGAGCTCCATTGTTGGCAGCTCGTGTTCTCCTAGGATTTTAGCCATCCTTCTGTGTGGCACTGTGGTAGGCATTTAGGGGGACAAGGTGTGTATCGGGGTGGGGCCTTGTGCCCCTTCCTGCCTGTTCTCCTGGGATCTGAAGGCTATATCTACTTCTCTCACTGAGCCATCCGTTTGGGGTGGTGGTATTGCATATTAATATGTCAGTAGAAATAGGTTTTACAATAAATATTGGTTTCCATTCCAGGAACAGACCAGCCATCACTTAATGGTCAACTCTGTCTGGTAGTGCTGGGAGCCAAGAACCTATCTGTGAGGCCTGATGGTACCTTGAACTCGTTCGTTAAGGGGTAGGTATCAATCAAATGACTACATCCCGGGTGCTACCACATTGATGCCTGCTCATGGTGCCCATGGAGTCATAGTGGAGCCCGGCTCCACAGGGTTGGCAATGGCTGACTTTCTGGGAGCAGCTCTCCAGGCCTTTCTTCCAAGGTGCCTCTGGGTATATTCAAACCTCCAACCTCGCATTAGCAGTTGGATCTGTTAAGTGCTTGCATCACCCAGGGATAATTATCTACTGAGAGATGCTGTGGACCTAAAACTTACAGGGAATATTAAAAAGTGTAAGACTGCCATTTTAAATTTGTCTTATTCTATGTGAACCCAACATAGCCCATGTTGGAGATCTTGATTTCCAACAATTCAAGGGATTTGGACTTGCTGAAGAGCACATTTTGACCTGAAACACAAATCTCACCAGTCTTTGGCCCATCAGTTTTGAAAATCAAGCCGTGAAAAAAGGGGGTTAAGGAACTATTTTCTTTGTTTAACATCTCCTCTCGGATGAACATGGGTCACCCAGGAGTCATTCTGACCCAGGAGTCATTCTGACTGACCCAGGAGTCATTCTGACCCAGGAGGTGTGCTGGTCTCTCCAAAAGTGAAGAAAACACCAGTAATTACTGTATTGAATTGCGGCCCTCCTCCCGGTGGGAGCAGAGGCCGTGTCCTCGCCTGTGCCAGTTACTGTATAGTCTTGGGCGTTACTTAACCTTCCTGCATTCCCGCCCCCTTGGGCAGGGTTACAATGTACAAAGCACATACACCAAGTTCTGGTTGTTGGAAGCAGTTCTCATAAGCTGTGCCAACATACGGTGGTAGGCTGGTGGGTACACCCAGGACATTAAAATGCGGGCCACACGGCCTCAGGATTCCAATTTATTGCCTGGTTCCGCACCGGCAATTAGGTCCCAAGAGAAATCTGGAACATCCTAGTTAGAGGTCACGTACTCTCGTGAGATTTCGATTCTAGTTAGAGATCGTGTAATCTCGTGAGAGTTCCATTCTAGTCGACTGTTCCGTAGTTTTCCATTTCCGAGTGGATGCGGTGGGGTTCTTAGGTCCCGTGGTCTGCCGCAGCCCGAGTACTGACATGGAAGGGGGCTGTGTGGAGGACATGATGGTGTCTGCGTGTTTCCCTTGTCCAGCTGTCTCACTCTGCCAGACCAACAAAAACTGAGACTGAGGTCGCCAGTCCTGAAGAGGCAAGCCTGTCCCCAGTGGAAGCACTCCTTCGTGTTCCACGGCGTGACCGCGTCTCAGCTGAGGCAGTCCAGCCTGGAACTGACTGTTTGGGACCAGGCCTTCTTTGGTATGAACGACCGCTTGCTGGGCGGAGCCAGGCTAGGTTCAAGTAAGTCCATGGGAAGTATTTGGGCCCCGAAAACCTCGCTTACCCTTAATGACGGTGTTTCATGAATAAAAAGAACAAAATGCTTCCGCCGTGGCAGCGGGTGCTCGCTTCCACCCTAAGTGGAAATTACTGAGTCTAATTCGTACTCGCTACGGAGAGATAATAAAGCCAAGTATTCCAACAATTTAAATCAGATTTAGGTTTGCTAAAGAAACAAATTACAGAGCTCAGAACGGACTAGGTACACTACTGGCTTTTGTTTCTGATATCCATCAGAAAAGGATTATTGCCTTAAAGAAAAATATCGTCTTAACTCAAAGCCGATTCAGAGAGCATTTCTTCCGCAGTGGGACAAAATGCAGCACTGGTCGGGGTGCCCTTGGTTGGGCCGACAGACCCGCATCCGTTCCATGACCCCCCAAACAGGAGCCACTGAGGACGAGACCCAGTTTTATAAGAAATGTTGCCCCAAACACACCCCCTTCTCTAAGGACCTAGTTTGCATGAGAACATCTGGCAGCCCCTTGGATGACTGCCCACCTGCCCCTGGTGGTGTTAGGTGCCGTTGACTTGGCTCTGACTCCTAGTGACCCTGTGTACAAGAGAACACTGCCCGGTGCTGGGCCAGCCTCACAGCCCTTGCTATACCTGAGCCATTGCTGCAGCCACTGTGCCAGTCCATCTCATTGAGGGCCTTCCCCTCTTTTGCTGACCCTCCACTTTTACCAAGCATGACATCCTTCCCCAGGACATGGTCTCTTCTGACAGCATGACCAAAGTAGGTGAGACGCAGTCTGGCCATTCTTGCACCTGCCAGTAGCAAAAGTCATTTATTAAGCTGTTGGCCGCCTCTGGTGAAGAACCAGCCTGCCAAAATCGGAGTCCCTCATTTTGTATCATAGGATTGGTGGTTCAGGCCATGGGGACTTCCAGCACTCAAGCAGGACCATCTGAGCACATAACCTTTTGCACTTAGTGGAGGGCTCTCTTATTTTCCAATGGTTGGTATTTTAATATGGTCTCTTGAGAAGTGAACACACTTCACTCTGGCTGGCCCTCATTTTTTAAAAACTGAAGAAAGCAACGGTAATTACTACTTCCTCATTGTCACTTGCTTCCTGTTACAGAGGAAGACACAGCCGACGGCTCAGACTCATGCTCCCCATTGAAGCTCCAGTGGCAAAAAGTGCTCTCCAACCCCAATCTGTGGACAGACATGACACTCATCCTACACTGAAGCCAAGCTGTCAGCTCCCAGCCAGTCCCTGGTTGGACGGGTGTTTTTAAGGGCTGCACACCTGTGAAGGTTCTCTCAGGAACTGGGCAGTGACGTCACAACTGGAAAGCAGCTGCCTGCCTTTCTCCTTTCAGAGACTTCTGGTGTGTGAACTGATAGCCACGTACCATGCAGCACACATTTTCACACTGCTTTGTGTATATTTAAATTAAAAAGCTCTCGTGGGTGTTCTGTAAGCAGGTCTCAGGTTGATGGTCTGTCCTTTTGAGAAGTGGACATGGGGTATCAATGAATGTCCACTGGTTACCTGTGTTGCCAGATGCTTATGAGTAATGTTATGGGAGTTAATTAGGTGGTGGCCCTGTTACAGGCGTTTCAAAGAAAAAAATCCTTCCTACTGTTGAATCAGTTCTGATTCATGGTGATGCCAACCCCATGTGTTGCAGAGTAGAACTACCCCAGAGTGTTTTCTGGATAGTGATTGTTTGAAAGCAGGTGGCCAGGTCTTCCATGATGTTGCTGAGTGGGTTTGAACCACTGACAATGGTTAAACCAGCCCAGTTGAAACCATTTGCACGGTAGCCCTACAAAGGTTTCTGGGGATAGTGCAGTCTTCATCGCTGTACTGGGTGCAAAAGGGAAGGCTCCTGCTTTCGGAGTTGGTAGACTCTAATGGCCCCTTGAGTGCTGTGCGGTAACGCCTCACCAACACAACTGAGGCGCTGTGGCTGTGGAGTCCCCGTGACACCCCCACCCCCGCACACGTAAGCAGACATAAACTACTGCACACGGCCTTGCAGGTCTTTTATTTCATGTGGCTGTAGTGCGGGTACAGCCCGCATATGACATCTCAACCAAAAAGGACTAAGCAGCACATGAAAGGAAGACACGAGCCAAAAGAACCATGACGGGGAAGCGAATGAAAGAGGTCAGAGTGAGGGTCTTGTGGCAACACAGGGAAGATGAATGGGTCTACAGGGTCCCTTCACGGCTGGAGTCTGAATGATCACAACAGCGTACATTTTTCAAACAAGAAGCTTTGTTAAAAAAATCGATGTGTGCACACAATTACATGCACAAGGAGCACAAGTAAAAAAAAAAAAAAAAAGGCACAGACGTGGTGATCGCAGGGAATCAGCCTCCTGACAGCCACCCGCCATGATTAAGTGCCGTGTCCGTGGTTTTTCAAGGTAATCCTTTTAATATTCTGTAAAAGGTAACAAAATATACAGAACAAAACTTTCCCTTTTTAAACTAATGTTACAAACCCATATTATCACTTATATATAAATACTATACTCTATAGCGGATCATCCGTTAGGTGTGAAGAAGACCAACAATGCAGTCCTCTGTTAAGCAAAACAAAGTTTTATCCAGGAGTGTCCTCCTCTATCGTTTGTTCTGAGGAATGGCTGCAGGATTTGTTAACTGCCTGCAATAAACAAAAGTGTGTTTTGGACTCAATTTTCAAAGTAATTTTCACCCCTCAAAAAACATAAATATACAAAGATGGATTATTCATAGGAATCAAGAACAAATCAATTAAGGTCATTTCAAAAATACAGGAAAAAGTATGGCACGGGGTAGGAGATAAGCCACCGTGTGGTTTTAATTGTACTGAATCTTGTATCACACGCCAGCGCAAAGCTCGCTATTCCAACTTTACAGGCACCTTTCCTTAATTCAAATCGGTCCTGCACTAGACAGGACATAATCCCATCATCATCATAAGACTCAGGCCTGTTTGGCACTAGGATACAATTGGGATAATAAACCAGGGATACTTCCCTTGGTCCCAGCCCCAGAGCACTCCCACTGAAATAACTACTCGCTTTCTAAAGAAACTGCAATAGGATGCGGGGGTTTCTAGATTTGGAATACTAAAAAAAAAAAAAAAAAAAAAAAAAAACCACGTATGTTAGGTGTCTGATAGTGACTCCCAGACGTCATCACACTGGACCTGCCTACCCACAGTCCTGCCCTCCGCACCAGGCGTCTACATGGCCTCGAACTCGTCGATCCTCTGCTTGGTGTTGCCCTGCCGGATCTGCCGCAGCGTCTTGTACTTGTCACGGCCTTGCCGCATGTTCTCATTGTGGATGATGTCGTTGTGGGTCCTCTTGTTCTCATCTCTGGCCTGGGACAGCTCACTGGTCAAAGTCTGCAGCAGGAGGGAAATGCAGTCAGGCATCTACCCTGGGACACAGGTCACAGGGGACCTCATGATCACAAAGGAGAGGCCACCCGTCCCCCTGCCCCTTGTGAAAAGCAATGACGGGAAGAGTGGGCACTGAGTGGAAACTGCTTGAGGGAGAGACAAAGCCAGCGTGCTGTAAACCTTGGGTGCCGCGTTGCTCTGCTGTTTGCGTTACGTCCACCTTTGCCTTCCACTGGGGTCCTGCATCACCCCCAACCCCACTCCTCCTGCAGCCCCGCCCGGCTCTCACCTGCAGCTGCCGCTGCACGCGCTCGTTCTTCTCGGCCTCGGTGATCCGCTTCTCCTCGTTGCGGTCGTCCATGATGCCCTCGCTGGAGAGCTCCGCGCTGTAGCCCGTGTACTCGGTGCCCTCCTCCTGCAGGTGGTCTTGGACGTGGTAATTCACCGGCTCGTACACGGGGGGCGGGGGCGGGGGCGCCGTCATCACCAGCTGCAGCTCTTCCCTGGTCTTCACCAGGTCGTCCTGGGCCTCTTTGGCCTGTGGAGGCAGAGCCAGGCTGCTCAGTGGCCCGCTTTGGACCCTGGCCAGGATCACAGAATCCTGCCCGTCACCACCCTGCCCTGACCAGCAGCTGGCAGGGGTCACTGTGTGGCCAGCTCGGGGCCCTGGCTTCTATCCATCATCTCCGAGCACCACCCAGAAGCGGTGATACTGAAAGCTTCACATCTTTTAAGCACCGTAGCTTTTTTTCCGTCTGTGACCCCCAGGTATGCATGCTGTCTACATTTTTAGGGAAAAGATTAAAGGAACAAAAATGCTTCAGCAGGGGACCCGCCTGAGACAGCCACTGACTTTTTGGAGTACGGCCTGATGTCTTTCCTGGCGCAGGCACCTGCTGCGTCCTGCGTAAGCCAGTTTCTCGGCCCTCAGAGCCTCCCGGATGACCTCATCAGACAGACACAGACCCTGACCCATGCCAACCCGGGAGGGGAGGCTCAGTCTGTGTCTGCTTTATAACCACCTTTATCCACCAACACTTTATAATGAGGGCTTTCTCCAAAGTCCTTTTGTTTTTTCAAGAACTGAAGTGTTCTGTGTGTCACTGGGGCGGGAGGGGTGGGGATGAATGGGAAGGGAGAGGCCCCTGTGGACAAATGGGACACTGTTCCCAGACAGGCACATGCTGTGGGAGTAGAGAAAGGCCAGGCGGGGGTGGAGGGGAGCGTGTGTACCGAGAGCCACACCTCAGGGACGCACCTCCCACTGGGAACGCAGGACGAGGCTGACACAAGCCCTAGGGACAGAACCAACCCTACTTCTCATCACAGGGACAGGGCACTCAACCCCTGGCCGGTCCTGGGCTATCCAAGTGGTCTCTAATCTTTGGAGCACCTGACAGGTCAGCTATGCTGGTTACTCCCATTTGACAAGGAGGAAACTGAGGCCACTTGGCCCTGGTCATACAGTTAGGCCTGGACTCGCCCAGACCTATGAAAGCCAAGGTTGTGGGTCTACCCACTGTGCCACCCTGCACACGTCAGCAGGAAGGCAAGGCAAAAACTCAGTTCTGGCCCTGTGATCCACTGCTGGGTGTGCGGGCGTAATCAGATTTAAATTAGCTCTGGACAGGGGGTGGTCAGCAGAGTTTGGGGTGGCCAGGCCACATGGGTGGAAAGAAAGCAGCAGCTTTGTTCCTCTGCTTATCCAAGCGTGCACTGCCCTCACACGCAGAGCAAGCCCATTGCTCCGGGGAGTTCCGCTGAAACCATACAGTTGGTGTCTGCGGGTCAAGCCACCCCGGCCCCACCCTGCCCCTTCCCTGGCCCCGCCCCAGTGGCATGGGGCCCTAACCGACGTGCCGCTCACCCGGTGCTGCCACTCTTCCACCTCGTCCTCCTTGCGCCGCCGCGCCTCCTCCAGCAGGGCAATCTTGGCTGTGTATTCGGCGAGCTCAGCGGCCTGGTGAGGGAACCCAGAGTGATTTCTAGAACTTTCCAGAGAGGTCCATTCATGAATGCATTCACACCAGGGGCCATGTTTAGATGAATGGCCACCACTTGTGACATGCTGCATCCCCTAGATGCCCCCTACTTGCTGACAAACAGTGTCTATGTGCGAGTCAACCAGGCTGCAGAGAGATCTCGTTTTCCTCTGAGCCACTATTTCCGCCTTCCATCACTGGCTACAGCAGGGAGGCTTGGGCCCAGGCAGGGGATGGCCGGCCACTCTACACCTGCCTGTGGATCGCTTTACACCGCAGACAGCCGCTATTAGAAGGCAGGTGTCACTTCTTCAATCCCCAGCAGCAGCCTTTCCATAATTCAGCATCCTGAGACCCAGCCATTCCTACCAGCTGCTCCTGGCTCTTTATCTGATCCACAGCCTGTCTCTCCAGCTCCTCTTTGGCCCGCAGCGCGGCCATGCGGTCAGCCTCCAAACGCTCCGCCTCCTCCTGGGCGCGCTTCCTTTCCTCCTCCAGCTGCAGGGCTCTCTGGATCTGGTCAGAGAGTTCTAGAAGACACAGGCAGAGCTGCTTAAGTACCAAGCTGCTTAAGGACCCTGGAGCCTTCACCTTAATCCCAGCCCAAGTGGCTGAGCGAGGTCATGGGGGATCACTCAAGTGCCAGACCCAGTTCCAAGGGTATAGACCAGACCTCCCTGGGTAAGACTTCTACCGCTGACATGAAGTCAGTGCTTTATGGCTCACTCCAGTTGTGTGCACGCTGACCAAGACTTTTAAACACACACAAAGCTGGCAAAGCATGGCTCTCACCAGCCAAGTAGTGGCGATTCACACCCCTCCCTGAGCAATCCTTTCTGCACTCAGCTTGGCAGGTAGAC